TCTCGATTTTTTTACCAGGTCACAAAATTATTCGCTAAATTTGAAACATGATTTTAGTGATTTATAACTATAAAATTTGTTAACGGATTTTGCATAAACAATTATATGTAACTAAAATTATGTTCATTTGTCTATTTTTTTACCAGACGAACGAGAGAACGTGCAAAAGAAGACTTTCCAGAAATGGGTGAATTCGCACTTGGTACGTGTAGGGTGCCGCATCGGCGACCTCTACGTGGACATGAGAGACGGCAAGATGCTCATCCGACTCCTCGAGGTGCTTTCAGGAGAGAGACTGGTGAGTTCACATTATCTAGTAAAGTAATATCGGAAAAATACATAAGGGTTATACTCTAAACTACGTATAAATAGGTATATATTGTTCTCTTAAATTTTTTATTCAAAGGGAGTGGGAGGAAAGACTGGTTTTACTAAAATGTCTCGACAGTAGAATCTCTTAGATGTGCAACGTAGCCTAAAATGTCTCATACGTCAATACTAAAAGAAAGGAATAGATAAACAAAAAGCTGATTAATAATAATCCAGCTTGAGATTTATTATAATCTTAATATGAATTGTAATTAAGATGACTCTCAGTCTAACAGAGGTGTGAGCAGTGGTGTTCCAATAGTTATATTTTCTCTTTTTAAAAAATATCTCTATCGATGTAACGATGTAAATACCCACAGCGTGAGAAAACGAATCAAGACAAAAAGTTAAACCTGACTTTGCCTAAAAGGGTCTCTTCTCTGCTACCGACTTCGACATACATGGACCTCACGGGAAGACGACAATTTTGTTTTCTGGATTTTATTCCTTATGTTTTTATCGAATCGTTCTAGAGCTTTCAAAAATCACGTTACTGTAACAATTTCATTTCATGTTGTTTATGTTTCAAAATTGCAATTGTAGAGAATCTAATATTAGTAATTTTAGAACAAATGGTAACTGTGATACATTTTATATTCATTGAAAATTGAATAGCTTTACTATGCTATACCCTTTTCCAATATAATGTTCGTAAAATACGGGTTTCTTACCACGATTGGTTTGCTTTAGCTCACCAGACGACACTAAAAACCACGACAGTAAAGTTATATACCTATTCTAATAGTAGGATACGTGACGTGTGGAAAAAGAGTTTAACATTGATGATTGTTCCAGCCGCGGCCGACAAAAGGCAAAATGCGTATCCACTGCCTGGAGAACGTAGACAAAGCGCTGCAGTTCCTACGCGAGCAGCGCGTTCACCTCGAGAACATGGGCTCGCATGATATCGTCGATGGGAACCCAAGACTTAGTCTCGGACTTATATGGACTATTATCCTTAGATTCCAGGTATATGTCTATATTAATGAATTTATTATTTATACGTAGGCAATACTTATTAACAATGGTTTTTTGAATGGTTGTTTGGTGTGAAAAAATGTGATATATTTTAAAATACTGGCTGTTATGTGTAATATAGCTTATTTTACTCACAAATTATCTTTCTATTAGCGAAAGAATTTTTATAATGGGCTCAGTAGTTTTTTAATTATTTCAATCTTACTAATATTATAAATGCGAAAGTTTAGACGGATGAATAAATGGATGGATGTTTGTTTGAGTTTGTAGTCTAAACTGTTGAACAGATCTCGAAGAAATTTGGTATAGACGTCTCTACGTCTACAGTACAGTACAGTCGTACAGACTATCCTCTGATAGTCTGTTCTTCCAGACTATCCTCTACGTATATAGGCTCCTCACTTTTTTTTTAATTCCACGCGGACGGAGTTGCGGGCGAAAGCTAGTACATACATAAATACCAAAATACGAATCTTTTCTCTTAATAATATTAGTATAGTACAGTGACCTTTTTTCTTTATTTATTTTTAAAATATTTCTCAGAACACCCTAACAGGAACGCTAAGCTTTTTAACGTTTCAGAATTTCTTTATTGTTGATATCTATACATGGTAATTTTCAACAGATCCAAGACATAACAATCGAAGAGACAGATAACAAAGAAACGAAATCAGCAAAGGACGCGCTGCTGCTGTGGTGTCAGATGAAGACTGCCGGCTACAACAACGTGAATGTACGCAACTTCACCACCTCCTGGCGGGACGGGTTGGCTTTCAACGCAATCATACACAAACACAGACCAGACCTCATCCAGTTCGAGAAACTCCACAGGAACAATCCTATGCATAACCTTAATAATGCATTTAACGTGGCTGAAGAGAAACTCGGATTAACCAAACTATTGGATGCTGAAGGTAATTTTTACTTTAAGTTTGCTTGCAGGCTTAGAGAATACTATGTACGCTGTACAATCGCGGAATTCCCCAGTGTTCCACTTTAGGAAAATTGTCTCATTCATCGCAACGCGACAATCTTCGCCCCTTCTTACAAATAACCGTGTATCTAGTTCGGTAATAAAACTTAATAAAATAAAACTTTTTAACAGTGGTAGTGCCCGCTTTAGCATCTTAGCCAATTACTAATACCACGACCACACAGAAGACAGCCGTCAAATGGAAGCAATTCCGTGTTTCGTCTGATGATTGTGGTGCCGGAGGCCTAATTTAAGTCCATTCCTCTTTACCACCCTTTTCTTACAAGGAGATTATGGGAACGGGAAGTGGATTTGACGGTGGAGGAGATGCATAGAAATGGGAAATATCCTCTTTATGTGCGTCTCCTCCTCCGTCGGATAAGGGTAGGCAACGCATCTGCAACT